TACTCTGTAAACATAAGAATAACGACGTCACTCATCACTCCGATGTCAACAACACTGACTCGTGTGTGTGTGTGTGTGTGTGTGCGTGTGTGTGTGTGTGGTGTGTGTGGGTGTGTGTGTGTGTGTGTGTGTGTGTGTGTGTGTGTGTGTGTGTGTGGTGTGTGTGTGTGTGTGGGGGTGTGTAATACGTGGTAATGAGCGAATCCAGAAAGAACATGTGAGCATCGAAGAAGAAAAGAAGGTATGAAGGGAGGGAAGAAGGAAAGAGGGAGAAAAGAACGGAGGAGTGGAAGAATGAAGGAGGAAGAAAGGAGGGGAGGAAGAGAAGAAGGAAGAGAGAGAGAGAGAGAGAGTAAGAGGAAGAAAGAATAGAAGGAAGACTCTCACTCGTGGTGCCAGAATGAGTTCTTTCAAGAAAACTGCGGTCGAATCCCTATGTCACAGGAATTTACAGCCAATAGTAAAGAAGGATATCTGTTATGAGCAACATGCAATCCTCGGTACTGACACAGATCCTAACAAAACACCTTAGGTTAAGAGAGAAGAGCAGAAGGCTCTCTATCCATTCTGTTTTCAACACTCTCTCTCTCTCTCTGCTTCTGTCTGTCCGTCTGCCTGTCTGTCTGTCTGTCTGTCTCCTCTCTCTCTCTTCTTTCTCTCTCTCTCTCTTCTCTCTCTTCCTCTCTCTCTCTCTCTCTCTCTCTCTCTCTCTCTCTCTCTCTCTCTCTCTCTGTCTCTCTCTCTGTCTCTCTCTCTGTCTCTCTCTCTCTTCTCTCTGTCTCTCTCTCTATGTCTCTCTCTCTCTCTCTCTCTCTCTCTCTCTCTCTCTTATATATATATATATATATATATATATATATATATATATATATATATATATATAATATATATATATATATATATATATATATATAATATATATGTGTGTGTGTGTGGTGTGTGTCCTATCTCTGACTTTTGTTAGCAAAACTAACTTCTTGCACCACCTGTCATTTCGCTGTTGCTCCTACACTCTACCTTTATCTTACATACTCCCTGCACTTCACTCTCTCTTGCCCTATGCACATTTCTAATTTCACACATCCCTCCCTGCAGTGCTGCATGACCCTCTCCGGCCTTTCCCCTTAATTTAATAAATAATATAATAATAATAATAATAATAATAATAATATATAATAATAATAATAATAATATTATAATCACTGAATGTATTGTCAGCAGAAACCAAATTAAAAAATATTTTACTATGCGGTGTTATGAGCAAATATTGAAAATTAAACAGATTTGTTGAATGTTGAACCTAATCTATTACTACTATTACTACTACTACTACTACTACTACTACTACTACTACTACTACTACTACTACTACTACTACTGTTAATAGTAATATGATTATTATAATAGTAATATGTTACTGCTACTAATACTACTACTACCACGGCTACCACTATTGCTCCTTGTTGCTTCCCGTACGGAGGATCGAGCTTCAAAAAAATCCATGAGAAGAATCGCCCACAACGAATTAACACTTCCCATAAATGTATAAAAATAAAGTTTATGAAGATATAGCTGCCAACACCACATCACAAACCACCACCACTAATACCACCACCACTAATACCACCACCGCTAATACCACCACCACTAGTACCACCACCAATACCACCAATTACACCACACCCACCATCATTGGCACAATAAACATCACATTCATTTTCTGTCGCCCGAATAAACTAAGTAATAAATCTCATAAGTATCAGGAAGGTGCCAGACGCGTCCCACCACATTATATATATACATACAGAAGAATGGAAGGAGGCTTTAACCGTGGTCCATGAATGTAGAAGACCCAACGCTGTACAGACCAAGAAGCTGTCATGGGACATCTATTACCATGCTTGTTAGTGTCCCAAATGGCCAGAAATATATGCACACACACACACACACACACACCACACACATATATATAACACAAACACAAGTAAAAAAACTCAGCCAGCAAAACACAGACACAAAACAGACCAAAAGAAAGAGACAAATAAAATCAACACACCATGACTTAATTATATAATGATAATATATACTATGCCATGTATGTATATGTTAATGTGTCATATAACGGTTAGTAAAAACTCAACACTGTTAGAGGCCAGAAAACAGGGTCCAAGAGTGGAAAGGAGAGATAAAACGTTCAGTGACTGTATTTAAGTGGATCGATATTTGCCTGTGAGAGTCATGGAATGGGCATAATGGCATGCGTGTTTCACACGTTTTAGGTGCAGAAACCAAGGTGAGGGTGGTAGGAGAGGTGAAAGGTAAGACGTAGGTAGAGGTGTGTAGTTTCGTGAGAAAACATAAAAATCACGTGGAAAAAACAGGCAGGAACTAAGTATAGATTAGAAAACAAAGGATGAGGAGAAGAAGGAAGAGAGATGAAAGGATAAGGAAGACAGAGTCATAAAGACAGATGTGTAGGAGTGAGAGAGAGAGAGATAAAAAAAAGAGCGGGAAAAAACAGGCAGGAACAAAGAAAAAAAATAGAGAGAAACATGGAAAGGGGAGACGGGAAACAAGAACGCACAGAAAAATCGAGAGAAGGAAAGGATTCAAGTGGATATGACCGAGTCATAAAACAGAGTGAAGGATAGAGAGAGAGAGAGAGAGAGAGAGAGAGAGAGAGAGAGAGAGAGAGAGAGAGAGAGAGAGAGAGAGAGAAGCGAATTAAAAAAAAAGTCAGAGACTACAAAACTACTGTTAAACTTCCGGGCAACAAACTACAAAGCTACAGTTACACTACAAAAACCAGTCACCTAAAATAAGCCTTATAAACAAAAAATAACTGATGAAAAATTCCGAAACCTACGATCACACACAACTATTGCAATCGGTAAATTTTGTCACCAAAAAATACATATTTCAGAATAATGCAAATATATGTTACGTCACTACTATAAAGGTCTTTAAAAAAAATACCCTGAAATCGTCTACATATGAATTGAAAATTGAGCTTTTGCATCCATCTAAAAATTCAATCCCTGCAATTTCTCAAATTCCTCACGAGACAGAACTTAAGTGGATGAAGGGATTTCTGGGCGAAAAAGATTTTTCTTTTTCAAGTAATAGTCTCAGGGAGAGAAACCGAGACTTATTAGATGAGGCATCTTAGAAATATGACCATGTGTATTGTCTTATATTGGTATAACCCAGGTACTGCCTCAGCGTATCTCCCTCTCTCTGTCTCTTTATATATATATATATATATATATAATATATATATATATATATATATATATATATATATATATATATATATATATATATATATATCGTGCCGAATATGTAAAACTGGTCAATTAGCAAGAACTCATTTAAAATTAAGTCCTTTCTGAAATTTTCTCTTATACGTTTAAAGATATATTTTTTTCATTAATGTGAATGTAAATTTTTTTAATTTTGCACCAAAAGTATCTTAGAAAACTTACCTAACCTTATTAAAGCAAGAGCAATTTATTTTAGCCTAACCCAACTAAATATATTTTAAATACGTTTACAATAATTTAATACTAAACAAACACAATCAAATATATTTTTTTCGTTAGGTTCAGAATGATTTTGGCGATATTATTGCATACACAAATTTTCACTTGTCCTATATGGCAAGATGAGCGTTGCTGTTTAAGCCAAGATCGCAAGTTCTGCCTATTCGGCACGACATATATATATATATATATATTTTAAACAAGTATAACATACAACTTTATTGTAATAACCTTTCACAGTTAGTAGCTTCAGATGCAGGAATTTTATACAGTATGATGTGGTATAGGGTAGCATTAAAGGCACACAATGTGCGCCTCTCTGGCTGCTCGGCAAACATCGATGCGATAGTCCAGTTCGGTCCCGACGCTCTGCAGCATATCTGGAGTTATCATGCGAACTGCTTCAGTGATCGAAATGTTCAGCTCCTTCAGGGTTGCAGGTAGTGGTAGTACGTAAATTGTGCTCTTCATCTACCCCTAAAGAAAGAAGTCACAAACAGTTAGGTCTGGTGACCTCTGCAAGTGGCCTATAAGGTCACCGGTCCTAACTCTTTGTGACTTCCTTCTTTGGGGTTACGTGAAGATCACAGTTTATGTACTACCACTATCTGCAACCCTGGAGGAGCTGAACATTTTGATCACTGAAGCAGTTCGCATGATAACTCCAGATATGCTGCAGAGCGTCGGGACCGAACTGGACTATCGCATCGATGTTTGCTGAGAAGCCAGAGAGGCGCACATTGAGTGCCTTTAATGCTACCCTATTCCACATCATACTGTATAAAATTCCTGCATCTGAAGCTACTAACTGTGAAAGGTTATTACAATAGACTTACATGAATACATGCTTGAAATCAGGGAGTGTTTTTGTGGGCACCCTGTGTGTGTGTGTGTGTGTGTGTGTGTGTGTGTGTGTGTGTGTGTGTGTGTGTGTGTGTGTGTGTGTGTGTGTGTGTGTGTGTGTGTGTGTGTGTGTGGTGTGTGTGTGTGTGTGTGTATGTGTGTCCCTGCGTCTTCCAACCTACAGTATGTATTCATACAATGTGTACACTTCAGCTTAACATTACTGTCTGTACCTCACTGGGTAAGGGAGGTCGAAACTTAGTTTTATTAAAATAATGTGTGATGCATATATAACTCGCACATAGGAGACTCATACTTATGACGACGTTTCAGTCTGAATTGGACTGTTAATGAGTCACACTGAAACACGAAGGAAAGGGAGCTCAACAATGTACGTGACCGGTATTGTACCTTTATATATTTTATATATTCTAATAATTGTTTTTACAATGAATATCACGGGATATTCTACATACTTTACTCATAAATATGTTAATATATTTATTTCAGTATGTGTTTTAATGCATTTCAGATGACCTTGGTATCGAAATTTTCACTTTATTTTCCTACAGAAAGAGGAAAGTTTTCAACACCACATTATGCAAACCCTGATCAATGAGCGACATTCTTTTCCCTTCTCAGCCTGAGTCTGTCGAGGATCAAGCTGCCGTCCTTGAAGCGATGAGGGAAGACTGTGAAGTCAGAATGAGAGAAGAGATACGCCTCTTGAAACAGCTGAGGACAGAGGCCAGGGTGAGAGGCAAGGGAGTTAGCATGGGAGAGGAACCATACGGAGCAAGTGTAGACTTTCCAGGCGTCGAAAACATCAAATCCAGAACGAGAAGTTCAGACCAACCATCAGGAAATATGGACGAGGGTAAAGACGACGGGAGCCGAAATAAACACCCTGAAAATCAGCTCATTAAGGCATATAATAATAATAATCAGAATGTCAAGGAAAATGGGTCTGCAGCTGCTGCTTTCTGTCCCACGACATTTGACGATGTGTACTGCTGGCCTAGAACACCCCCAGACACGCTAGTCACTATTCCTTGTCCTACGTACGTCCAAGGATTTCCTCACGGGGTAAGACATTACTCTGTTCGTTTGTCTGGTGTAAAATGACGTGCAACTGTCGTAATTTTATTCTCATATTACAATTATCACAGAAATTTAAAAAAAACATAATTAATTCAGTGTAAATGTTATACATCCTGTGAAAATGAATTAGACAAAATTTTTCTTAAGTACTATATAAATTTACCAAATCATTTTGTATTTCTTAATAACTGTTGTGTAAATGCACTTGAGTATACTATTGTTGTCATGCTTCTCCGAGATAAAAGGGCGATAAACCCGTGTGGGTCATTCAGCGTGGAGGCTCGGTCCTCCGTTCGCTGATCGTTCGAGAAAATCTGCTACCTAACTGTACCCAACTGGTTGTGCTCACCAAGACGTGCGCTCTCTCTCAGAGTCACGCCTCCCGGTACTGCACGTCGCAAGGCAACGTGGTTCCGCCTCGATGGAGGCAATAGCTCCTGGACCAACTACACCCAGTGCTCCACCATGTACGTCTTGGCAGAGAATGTCAATATCACGCTTTTTAAGGTGGGTTCTTCTGTTGCTCTCTCTCTCTCTCTCTCTCTCTCTCTCTCTCTCTCTCTCTCTCTCTCTCTCTCTCTCTCTCTCTCTCTCTCTCTACCCCAACAGCTGGAATAATAGAGAAATACAGACAAATGCAGAAATGACGTGACTGAGGTTTTTAAAAACTCTACGGAGTTCCCCCATCACATTTCATTACCTTCAACCCGTTTCTCTCAAGAGTTTTTAACATAAAACTCTTAATGTCAAGTTAAAACTTGTCACACTTTGATGATATAATTTTTAAAGATCTATAAATGGATTCTTTTTGTATCTGCAGATACGCATACAGGTATACATATTTATATAAACAGCTACATATTTTACGCCTGAGTAAACATTCCTGCACACATGAGTGACAAACTGGCATACATAAAGTGACATATAGACCCACAAACACACATACATAATATATACAACATGAGGTGTATGTCTCTCAGTGAAGATACGCTGAGACTATTCTTTAATCGGTAATTTAGCGATTAAAGTGTCTTTGACTGGTGGTGAACAGGTGATATGCTGCATTTCTTAGCCTCGAGTAGTTGATGGCCCTTAAATCTCAGTACCGAACCAATACACACACATATATGCACACCAAAAAAAAAGGCAAAGTGTCTATTTACAAATGCCTTTGACAATTTACAACTAAAACACACACTACAAAAAAAATAAAAAAATAGGTCACCTTTCAAAGGTTATGTCAGACTATTGTAACCTCAGCACCTTCGCCCACCACAGGTACATATATCTTTCCTCTCATCTAAATGCAAATCTTACCCACTTCTTCACACTTCTCGGTTACCATAGACCATAATGTATTTATCCTCATGCAATTTAAATGCTAATGAGACCAGCGTGTCAGATATTATGTGTTAAGCATCGTGTCACCTTTAGTCTATATAAATGTATAATATTAACACGAAATTGCGAGGACTTTGCGTAACGAGTTCGTTAAACTCCTGAAAACCCCCGTTTTTCGTGGGCTTTATGCCCTCGGAGTTCCATAAACAGAAGCAACGAGGCGAATTCAATTAGCCTCAGGAAATACACAAAGTTGCTAACATCTGCCCTGCAAAATGGATGAAAAGAAAATACATTTAAATAATGTTTTTCAGACAATTATTTTTTTCTCCCGAATTGCATAATTTCATAAATTTTTTAACTTTGTTTACCGAGTTGTATTTGTCTGGGTCAAGGCTCGCCTCCCGGCCTCTCCTTTTGTTCACTTCAAAAATGTAGCCGGAATAAGTTCCTGGTGTCCTGGGCCTTCTCATATATACCCTTAAAACTGTGTATGGAGTTGCCGCCGCCGTCTCCTTATTAACTTCATTCCACCTCTCTTTCGCCTCCCCTTTAACAGCATCAATGTATATTATATCTCCCCCTGCCTTTCGTAAGTGCATGATTTATATTTTTCATGTTGACGTCTGCACAACACTGCCTCAGCGCTCGGCACACAGAAGGTTGAGGGTGTGTTCAGATGGAGAGGAAAACACTATTGTTCTTCCCAGAAAAATAGCGGAGCTCTGATAGTGTGGTGACACTGACTGTTTGTAAGGAAATGCATATATGCTGTCAATGGGACATTTTATTAAGGGAGCGTTTCGCCATCTAGAAACGATGATAAACAGTAAAATGTCCTAGTTACGGCGTGTGTCTCTCTTGCATAGATTTGTAACCTAAGACACTGTTTGCAAAGGACTCTTTGTTGTACAGCTCTTCGCCTTAAATTGGCTTTAGTGTGGTGAAACGTGTTTTCATTGTAATCATTGTCTTACTCACCAGAGTGATGCAGGAGCTACCCAAATGTGCAATAATAACGTAAGTGAACATTCTCCATTTGCTTTCGGTTTTAGTCACTTCACATTTAAAGCACAGTCTCCTCCCTCACAGTCAGCACCGGTTATCTAACATAGTCAGAGAAACAGTAAACAGGTGATTTCAGAATATGAAGAATAACCACTGTGAAAGAATAGTGAAATTCCAAGCTCTTCCTGACTTCTCACATTATCATAGTTACTTGATAATGTGAGAAGTCACGAAAGTGCTTGGAATTTCACTATTCTTTTACAGTGGTTGATTTGCATATATATATATATATATATATATATATATATATATATATATATATATATATATATATATATATATATATATATATATATATATATAATTAGGTAGTAGGTTGGTAGACAGCAACCACCCAGGGAAGTACTACCGTCCTGCCAGATGACTGTGAAACAGAAACCTGTAACTGTTTGGCATGATGGTAGGATTGCTGGTTTCTTTTTCTGTCTCATAAGCACGCTAGATAACAGGGATATCTTGCTACTCCTACTTACACTTTGGTCACACTTCACAGATACGCACATGCATATATATATACATACATCTGGGTTTTTTTCTCCTTTTTCTATATAGCTCTTGTTCTTCTTTATTTCTTCTATTGTCCATGGGGAAGTGGAAAAGAATCTTTCCTCCGTAAGCCATGCGTGTCGTATGAGGCGACTAAAATGCCGGGAGCAATGGGCTAGTAACCCCTTCTCCTGTAGACATTTACTAAAAAAGAGAAGAAGAAAAACTTTATAAAACTGGGGTGCTTAAATGTGTGTGGATGTAGTGCGGATGACAAGAAACAGATGATTGCTGATGTTATGAATGAAAAGAAGTTGGATGTCCTGGCCCTAAGCGAAACAAAGCTGAAGGGGGGTAGGGGAGTTTCGGTGGGGGGAAATAAATGGGATTAAATCTGGAGTATCTGAGAGAGTTAGAGCAAAGGAAGGGGTAGCAGTAATGTTGAATGATCAGTTATGGAAGGAGAAAAGAGAATACGAATGTGTAAATTCAAGAATTATGTGGATTAAAGTAAAGGTTGGATGCGAGAAGTGGGTCATAATAAGCGTGTATGCACCTGGAGAAGAGAGGATTGCAGAGGAGAGAGAAAGATTTTGGGAGATGTTAAGTGAATGTATAGGAGCCTTTGAACCAAGTGAGAGAGTAATGTGGTAGGGGACCTGAATGCTAAAGTAGGAGAAACTTTTAGAGAGGGTGTGGTAGGTAAGTTTGGGGTGCCAGGTGTAAATGAAATGGGAGCCCTTTGATTGAACTTTTTATAGAAAGGGTTTGGTTATAGGTAATACATATTTTAAGAAAAAGAGGATAAATAAGTATACAAGATATGATGTAGGGCGAAATGACAGTAGTTTGTTGGATTATGTATTGGTAGATAAAAGACTGTTGAGTAGACTTCAGGATGTACATGTTTATAGAGGGGCCACAGATATATCAGATCACTTTCTAGTTGTAGCTACACTGAGAGTAAAAGGTAGATGGGATACAAGGAGAATACAAGCATCAGGGAAGAGAGAGGTGAAGGTTTATAAACTAAAAGAGGAGGCAGTTAGGGTAAGATATAAACAGCTATTGGGATAGATGGGCTAATGAGAGCATAGGCAATGGGGTCGAAGAGGTATGGGGTAGGTTTCAAAATGTAGTGTTAGAGTGTTCAGCAGAAGTTTGTGGTTACAGGAAAGTGGGTGCGGGAGGGAAGAGGAGCGACTGGTGGAATAATGATGTGAAGAGAGTAGTAAGAGAGAAAAAGTTAGCATATGAGAAGTTTTTACAAAGTAGAAGTGATGCAAAGAGGGAAGAGTATATGGAGAAAAAGAGAGAGGTTAAGAGAGTGGTGAAGCAATGTAAAAAGAGAGCAAATGAGAGAGTGGGTGAGATGTTATCAACAAATTTTGTTGAAAACAAGAAAAAGTTTTGGAGTGAGATTAACAAGTTAAGAAAGCCTAGAGAACAAATGGATTTGTCAGTTAAAAATAGGAAAGGAGAGTTATTAAATGGAGAGTTAGAGGTATTGGGAAGATGGAGGGAATATTTTGAGGAATTGTTAAATGTTGATGAAGATAGGGAAGCTGTGATTTCGTGTATAGGGCAAGGAGGAACAACATCTTGTAGGAGTGAGGAAGAGCCAGTTGTGAGTGTGGGGGAAGTTCGTGAGGCAGTAGGTAAAATGAAAGGGGGTAAGGCAGCCGGAATTGATGGGATAAAGATAGAAATGTTAAAAGCAGGTGGGGATATAGTTTTGGAGTGGTTGGTGCAATTATTTAATAAATGTATGGAAGAGGGTAAGGTACCTAGGGATTGGCAGAGAGCATGCATAGTTCCTTTGTATAAAGGCAAAGGGGAGAAAAGAGAGTGCAAAAATTATAGGGGGATAAGTCTGTTGAGTATACCTGGCAAAGTGTATGGTAGAGTTATTATTGAAAGAATTAAGAGTAAGACGGAGAATAGGATAGCAGATGAACAAGGAGGCTTTAGGAAAGGTAGGGGGTGTGTGGACCAGGTGTTTACAGTGAAACATATAAGTGAACAGTATTTAGATAAGGCTAAAGAGGTCTTTGTGGCATTTATGGATTTGGAAAAGGCGTATGACAGGTGGATAGGGGGGCAATGTGACAGATGTTGCAGGTGTATGGTGTAGGAGGTAGGTTACTGAAAGCAGTGAAGTGTTTTTACGAGGATAGTGAGGCTCAAGTTAGAGTATGTAGGAAAGAGGGAAATTACTTCCCAGTAAAAGTAGGTCTTAGGCAAGGATGTGTGATGTCACCGTGGTTGTTTAATATATTTATAGATGGAATTGTAAGAGAAGTAAATGCGAGGGTCTTGGCAAGAGGCGTGGAGTTAAAAGATAAAGAATCACACATAAAGTGGGAGTTGTCACAGTTGCTCTTTGCTGATGACACTGTGCTCTTGGGAGATTCTGAAGAGAAGTTGCAGAGATTGGTGGTTGAATTTGGTAGGGTGTGCAAAAGAAGAAAATTGAAAGTGAATACAGGAAAGAGTAAGGTTATGAGGATAACAAAAAGATTAGGTGATGAAAGATTGGATATCAGATTGGAGGATGAGAGTATGGAGGAGGTGAATGTATTCAGATATTTGGGAGTGGACGTGTCAGCGGA